TATTTTCTTTTTACCGCTGCTCCGGAGAGTGGGTGGGAATGTTTTCAGTGGGAAGAGTAGAGTTTGGAAAAGGGTAGGAAGGGTACGCTGTTCTCTAGCTAGAACTTACTGTCTTCCTCAGTCACTCTTGTTTTGAGACAGTCTCATTATGTAGCCCACACTGGCCTCAAGCTTGTAATCTTGCCTCAGCTTCCTCTTGCTGCCACACAGGTGTGGGCCCCCACGCGTGGCCGGGTCATCATATTCTAGATAGAGTGTTCCTCTGTTCCGTTTGCTAGTAACTTACGATTATCAGTTCAAGTGAGACGCTTCACGACTAGAGACATTTTCTTGTCTCCTGTGCTCTGGAGACCTGATAGCCTTAAAAGGGAAGACAAAATGTTGTAGAAGGAACTGGTGGTGTGTTGAACTGCAGAATCTTAGGCTGCACTTTTTTTTTTTGGTACCGGGTATCCAACTCCCGGTCCTTGTGCTTGAGGCAGGCGGAGGAACAACTCAGCTAAATCCCTGCCCTGGTTGCACATTTAAATATGGGCTCTGGGTGGGGATTTGGCTCAGTGGTTCCCACACCTGCCTTGCAAGTGGCAAGGGCCTGAGTTAGATCCCCAGTACCAAGAAAATAAATAAATAAATAAATAAATAAATAAATAAATAAATAAGGGCTCTGAGCAGCAGTTCCAGGGTAGATGACCTGTGTGTCCGTCCCAGGATTTGGTAATTTTCCTTGTAGAAACACTTGGCTTCGTTTTTTTCCACCTTTGGTGGCTCTAGGGTGATAGCAGAGTGAGTAGTTTCACGTCTTTCTGTGAAGTTCAGGCTGGCCCCAAACTCACTGTGTCGCCTAGGTTGACCTCGATCCTCTGTCTGCTGAGAGCTGGGATTACAGGCATGCGCCATCAGGCCCCGCTTCACGTGTTTTTCAAGTTAGTTGTTGCCTCAAAGCCTACCAAATTTGCTTATTGAGCTGGGGTCTAGTGAGGAAGTCCTCAGAAGAGGAAGTCGAGTAGTAGTTAAATATTGGTGAAACCAGTATCTTCTCTTCCCTAGTTTGACAGAGCTTAATCTTTTGACTTTTTGCTCTAGTGAACTTTGAACCCTTACTTAGAAGACACCTGTGTGGGAAGGGAGGGGCTGCTTGAGAGCTGTTATTCTCTTAGGCTTTCTGGAATGTGGGTTTTGCCAGCTCCTTCCTCCTCTGGTTCTGGAAGCATAGTACACTTTGGTCGTATCCCATGCTGTTCGTGGGACTGTTCTTACTGTTCTTTGATTCCTTTGTATGATCATCCAAGATGCTCTTGTGGCAGAGCTGGAGGAGACCAAAGCTGAAACACTGTTTTGTTTATTTTGTTTTTTTGTTTTTGTTTTTTTGAGAAGGGTCTCACTTGGTAGATGCGGCTGGCCTTGAACTCACTATTGTAGCCCAGGCTGGCCTCCAACCCATGGCGATCCTCTTGCTCATCCTTCTGAATGCTGAGATTACAGGGCTGCACCATCATGAGCCTGGCCAACACTGAAGTTTTGAAGTCAGTTCTTTTTTGCCCTTGACCTGGACATTGACCTTTTATTTATTATGTAGCATCTTGGTAAATCCAATTTCAGTTTTGAGTTTCCTTTGTATAACCTATTAAATAGGTGACAACATTTTTTTTTTTTTTTTGGTACTGGGGTTCAAACTAGGGACCTTGTGCTTGCAAGGCAGGCAAGTGGCACCACTGAGCTAAATCCCCGGCCTGACAACATAAAATTTAAATGTAGTCTTTTCTTACTTTTCTTTTGGTGATGGTAGTAAATATATAAAATTAGAAATTTGCTGTTGTAACCTTTTTTTTTTTTTTTTTTTTTGAGATAGGATCCAGGTTGCCCTTGACTCCAGGGTTCCAGTGATCTTCCTGCCTTAGCCTCCCAAATATGTACCTGGGACTATATGCATGCACTGCTCGCTAACTGTTGTAACTTTTGTGGATGTGTGGTGAGGTACTAGAGTCCAGACTAGGCTGGAACTTGAGATCCTCCTGCTTCAGCTTCCCAGAGTGCTGGAATTACAGGTGTACAATTCATTGTAACCCCCCCTTCCCCGAGTACCTTTCTCCCAACACCCCTTCTTTTTTCTTTTGCTCTGGTCTAAAAGCTTAGGAGTACTACTGAGTGTGAGTGGCTTTGAATAGCAGTTTGGATTATGGCCTTAGCTCGGTGTTCCTGGACTGGTGGGAATACTGTGATGGGGTCTGGTGTGTGCAAGTCCTCACTGCCTTTCTGGGGTTTACAGTTGCTCTCCATGCCCTCTAGCAGCTCAACTCACAGGGGAGAGGCTAACAGCCCTTTGCTCCAGTGCCCTCCTACGTCCCACCTTTGTTTACTTGGGCAGGCGATTGCTCTGCTGTGCTCCCCTTGCTGAAACTTTAGTTCTCTAAGAATGCAGGGTCTGGCTCCCTGGATAGGGTGGTCCGACTTGCAAATGGATGCAGGCCCTCATTCCAAGCTCAAGCCCTGCTTCTAGTATATTCTCTTTCCTTTGAATTCCATCTGTGGCTTTTATCTAAAAGGAGAAACCCCGGCATGGCTGAGGGCCAGATTTCTGCTGATCCCCTTCTGTCCTTGGCCTTGTTCTGCTTCTGAGCACCAGCTTCCTGTCATCAACTCGCACCGTGAGGGGTATGGTGTCGTGCTTGGGACTCTGTGTGGAGGATGGGAGCTTTAACCCAGACTCACAGCTGAGGCTGCTGTCAGCTGTGGTCACTTGGCCCCATGGCTGCTGCATCCACTGCCTTCTCCGCGCCCAAGCAGTGGAGAAAACCCTTTGATTACCTGAAGGAAAGGTGGTCAGACTGAAGGACCCAAACTGCATCTGGGCAGGTCTGCTAACCTGGCTGATTGTAGAAGCCCCAGGCCCAGTCTGGTCTGCACGGGTAGCCTGTTGGTCTATTGCATGGCACATCTTGCTGACCCACAAGTGCTAGGCATGGTGCACAGGCCCTGGGTGGAGTTAAAGTCAGGTTGTCTTCTTAGCCCTTTAACATAAAGTTTCAGCTCTTGATCCTGCAGACTGTCCTTTCTTTGTAAAGAGAACTGACTTTCTGTGTCCAAGGATGGACACCTCCAGCCCTCTCTCTGAAGCTTCTGTAGAGTGTCATCTGGATTCTGATTCTGGTAGGGCCTTGTTCTTGTGCTCATGCTCTTGCTCTCCTCCCTTTTCAGCTTTGCGAAGAATTCTATTGTAAATGCTGGTTTGTGGGAGAAACTGCCTGAGCCAGCTTGTTGTCATGGGAACTGCACCACCCCCACCCCCGGAACCTGTTATCTTCTTCAGTTTGGGTAGCTACTGAGCTGGATAGAGCCTTACATTTCATGTGCTTCCTCTAAATTTAGTTGCATTTTTCATTTTCATTTTAGGCATTTGAGAGAGGGTAAATCATTGTATTGTACTGCCAGTGTTTCAGAGTTCCTGGTAGCCTGCCTTGCTCTTGACTGATTGGCCTTGATGAATTTATGAGAAGAAATCTGTGTTATTTTCGGGACATCTGTTTTTCTGGAAGAGACGGAAGCAGAGAATACTTGTCTTTGTGATGCTGTGAATGGTATAGTTAGGAACACAAATTGTTTCTTAGTAATTCCAGCTTGTGCAGACTACTTGGTTTTTCTTGTTCTGTAGCCTGATTAGGATATAGCTCCAGCTCCCTGCCCCTCTTCCCAGTTCCTTGAGCCTCCTGTATATGTGGAAAATTTTGTTCAAATCCTGATAGTTAACAGTTTTTTGGGCTATATCCTTCCCTATAGGGCTGGTGGCCCAGATTTCTGTAGCTGCCGCCACCCCTTCCTGCTAGGAGGAAATCAGGGTAATGGAATTCAGGGCTGTAGAGATCGTGTTTACCAGGCACTTGGATAAGCATCTGAACTGGGTGGTGTGCAGGGCAGATTAAATTCTCCTGTGGTTAAGGGAGTCACAGGAAGGAGGCTTTTCTACTATAGGCAAGCTGCCTCCTCCCTTCCATGTTTCTCATTCCATAGCCAGTCCACTGGGCAACTTGTACTCAAGCTGCTGCCTTGTCGCGGGATGAAGGCAGGGGAGCAGGTTGTCGTGAGCTGTCCTGGAGGGTGAAGCCAAGAGGATGACTTGAGAAGCAGAGAGGAGACCGTTCGGAGATGTGGAGGGTGGTGGTGGGAGTAGTGGGAACATTTTCCCTCCCTTCCTCTCCTTTCACCTTGCCCTCTGTGGTAACAGCATCACCACATGACTCTAGTCAGAAGGAGCTCGCCTTTCCTATCACCTCCGAGGAGTGAGCGTGCTGGCAGGGTAGGGTGTACGTAGGTCTCCCTGTGTTCCTCGTGTTTGCTTCCAGTCTGGGAGTCTGTTCTGGAAGACATTTCTCAGGGCTGCTCATCTCCCTGATGTAGTAGCTAAGGCCATCCCAAGGTTAATTCGAGTTAAACAGCAGATTGAGTTAAATAGCTTAGTTTATTTACTTCGCCACTTTCTGACACTTTTATAAAAAAGTTGCTGAGCATGAGCCAGCTGGCAGGCAAAGCAAACCTATCTCCAGCTATTTTCTGCGACCTCGTTGTGTTCACAAATTTGAGCTGAGTCAGAAGGGTATGGCACATCCCCAGCCCGAGAAACTGAATTTTATTTGTTTACTTATTTATTTTTGGAGACAGGGTCTCACTATGTAGTTGAGACTGACCTGGAACTCACTGTGTCGCCTAGACTGGTTTCAACTTACAGCGATCCTCCTGCCTCAGCCTCCCGAGGGCTAGGATTGCGGGTGTGCGCCACCACGCCCAACAAGAACCTGAATTTTAAAACACTTGCTGTGGAACATAAGGGAGCTCGTTGATGTATATATAGAATGACGTCTGCTCGATCCTGGTGCAGCTGAGCTAAGACACACTCTGCTGTGCCGGAGACTTGGCTCCTCCTGGTCTGTAGTCAGAGCTGCCTCACTGTCACACTGTCCTTCTCACTGTGCCTCTACCTTCTTTTTCCATTCTTTACCCAAATGCAGGCTGAGGCAGAAGTGGCCTCCTTGAACCGTAGAATCCAGCTGGTTGAAGAGGAGCTGGACCGTGCACAGGAGCGCCTGGCCACTGCCCTGCAAAAGCTGGAGGAAGCTGAGAAAGCTGCCGATGAGAGTGAGAGGTCTGCCTGCAGGGCAGCTTGATGGGATGGGATGTCTCGTTCTGCCCTGGGGACTGAGGCCAGGGCTTGAGAATGCTGGGGAAACCTAGCCCTGAGCCGCACCCCCGTGCCCCCCTTTTTTTCTGTGATGGGGCCTTGCTGTGTCGTTCAGGCTGGCTTTGAATTCACTATATAGCCCAGGCTGGCCTGGAACTGGCTGGAATCCTGCCTCAGCTTCCCAAGTGCTGGGATTACAGTATGTGATAACCATGCCTGGCACCCCCAACACTTTTTACTTTTTAATTTTTTGAGACATAGTCTTGCCACATTGACCTCAAATTTTCGATCCTCCCTGCCTCAGCTTCCCTAGTGGCTGGGATTACAGGCGTGTGGACTTTAAGAAATTCAGGACCCGGTACTCTCACGTGTGTCCGTTCACTCCCCCACCCCGCAGAATGCACTTTCTGCAGAGCACGTTTCTTTTCTTTTTATATCTTTAATAAACGTAAAACATGGTACCTTTAAAAAAAAGGCTGTTCGTGAACTGAGGATGTAGCTCAGTGAGAAAGTGCTTGTCTAGAACGTGCAAGGTCTGAATTCGTTCCCAAGTACTGTAAACGAAAACATCTCCAACCAAGATTTTTCCCTACCTGTTTTGTTGTTTGGTCCTTGAGATTGCACCCAGGCCTTCATGCATGCTGTGCAAGCACACACTCTACCACTGAGCCCCACTCCTAGCCCCACATTTGTTTTTTCTGTATTACAGGGTCTTCTTTTCTTCTGTGTGTTCTCTCCTCTTAGAGAAAACCTGAGTGTGGGTTACCGTAACTCTGAGACCGCATTTGACCTTGGTATTTTTCTGTAAATTGATCTGATATTCCTTTAAATGGGTCAACAGTCTGGCTTCCACTTTGTGAACCACCTGTTTCCATTGCTGAGCTTAATTCCTCCAACACAGATTCTCAAAGTCAGGTCCCAGTCTAGAAGTATCGCCCGGGAATGGGCGGGACATTCCAATTCTCAGCTTCTGCTTCCGACTCACTGAATCACAAACCCTGCCAGTGGAGCCCAGTGATGGACTTCCTCTGGATCCTGTCTGCTGCACTGTTAGAACCAAGGGGTGAGGAGGGTGGGGTCTTGGATCCCACCCCCTTTCCAGTAGAATACTGAGAAACAAATCTCAGCTCATCTTTGTGAAAACTGCTAATTAGTTCCTTGACACATAATAGGTGAACCAGGACAGAAGTGCGCAACAGTTTGATCTTGGCCTTTAAGAATTGAATATGCAGCCAGGTGTGGTGGCTCATGCCTGTAATCCGAGCACAGGGGAGGCTGAGGCAGGAGGATCGCTGTGAGTTGGAGACCAGCCTGGGCTACATAGTGAGTTTCAGATCAGTCTCAACTACATAGTGAGACCCTGTCTCAAAAAAAAAGAAAAAAAAGAAAAAGAATTAAATATGCCCTGCCAGAGCCAGGTGTGATGGCATGCACTTGTGATCCTAGCACTCAGGAGACTGAGGCAGGAGGATCTCTGTGAGTTTGAGGCCAATCTGGACAACATAGCAAGCTCCTGTCTGAAAAAAACAAAAACAAAGCCCTGCTAGAGCTCTGTTAGCAAAGGGCAGCTGTGCTTCTGATGAGTGAGACAGCTGTGTGTGTGTGTGTGTGTGTGTGTGTGTGTGTGTGTGTGTGTGTGTGTACTACACAGAATGGAGTCCAAATTAGAGAAAGTGAGGAAAATAGTTCTTTCATATAGCTATATATGACATTTTTGGAAAGAATATTAAAAGGTTATCTGTGAGCCAGGCATGGTGGCTCACACCTGTAATCCAAGCACTCAGGAAGCTGAGGCAGGAGGATCGCTGTGAGTTCGAGACCAGCCTGGGCTACATAGTGAGTTCCAGGTCAGTCTCAACTACATAGTGAGACCCTGTCTCACCCCCCACCCCCCAAGAAAAGGTTATCTCTGATGGGCAGGACTAGAAATAGGGAGAGAGACTTAGTTTTAACTTTAGATTCTTAGACAATAACATTTGATTTCTTTTTTTTTTTT